AAAAAAAACAGGTTTTTTCAAACCAAAAAAAAAATTCAATTTGTCGCCAGTGACAATTTCTGGAAGAAAATCGAAGAGAGAGAAACGTGAAAGAAAAATGGATAAAATCAGATTTTTAAATTAATTTTAACAAATTGGAGTGAATTAAGGAAACTGAATATTCTTAATTAGTTTGAAATTCCTTAATTCATGCTAATTAATAATTATCTTAAATTAATTCATATTTAATTGCCACCCCTATTTCCGTTTTTTTCATTTTTTCCTTCAGAAACGTTTTATTTTAATTTTTTTTTATCTTTTTATTCTTTTCAAATCAAATGTTTTTAATTATTAAAAATAACTTTTTTTTTTAATAATCTGTTACAACCTGGAATTTTTAATGTTATAACTTGAAAGTCTAAATCTACTGCTATAACTCGAAAATATTAGTATAATATATGTCATATTAGAAATTTTCACTAAATATATTGGATATTAGTAGTGATTCTTATTGGAACACATGTTGCCTTGTGGTGAACACTTATTCCCTCTTCTTATATAGTAAAATAATACTATATAATAGTAGGATTTTTCTTCCTTTTATATATTGATAAAAAAATTAATTATCTTTTTGATTGTTTTTTTGAAGCTCTTCACTCCTCTGGCAGCAATGATGAGGAAAATAGTAAGCCAATTTTCATTTGCACCTTTTTTCTTTTCAAAATATTATTATATGAATTATTCTCACTAAATTATGTTGCATAATATGAATGCTTATAGATTTGAATACTGAATGCTTTAAATTTGTAAATGTGATTCAAAAGAATTATGATGTTCATAAATCTTTTTAATTTATATATTTCGTTTAACATATTACTTTACTTTTTTTTACGGTTTGCAAAAAAATCAAATGTGTTAATCCTGTTGTGCTATAAGGTGCACTTTCATTTAATTTTTTCCCTACTTGATATTCACGATTTTTTTTTTATTTCTATTTTTCTGATTGATTTTATTTTTTTGAAGCTTTTCACTCTTCCAGCAACAATGATGAGGAAAATGGTAGGTCAAATTCTCATTTTTCTTTTGAAATTATAATACATGAATTATTCTAGCTAAAATATATTGCATAATAATATGTATGTAGAATGCATTTTGCAAAAGAATTATGAGGTTCTTAAATCTATTTTAGTTTATATAGATTGTCAAAACATATTTTGTCAACGAACAATGATCTTATTCGGTATTCAAAATTTTAAAATTATTTTCATTTTTTTGGACATGTTTGCATCTAATAATATCAAAATGTAACTCAGTAACCAGACAATCAATTTATATAATTTGTATTATTTGATGGACACACATGCAATATATGTGTCTAAAAATTTATTACACTTTATAAGTATTTATAACTAGTTCAAGGATTTTGACGAATAATTTTATGTAATTTATAATTACAAAATTTTACTCCTTGTATTTCAAACTTCATGGGAGTAGATAGTTTTGGAGCCCAAATATAATCCAATTTTACTTTTAAAAGTTTGTACATTGCCATTTTATTCTTCATGATATTTACTTTAGAATAAGTTTCATGGATCACATCTCAATGCTTCGTGCACCTGACTGTGTTTTTTACGTTATTCAAAGGTTACTCACATAGTCACATTGTTTGTTCTAAATTCTCGTGTATTTAGAGTCGAAGGGTCTCCAAGTAGAAGGAAACGTTGGGAATTCACAAAGATGATTGCAAAATCTTGGAAAGATCTTCCTCCTGAAGAAAAAATGGTAAATACACTCAAATCCAATTGTTCTGTATTTTGTATTGTGAGGATTCATCATAAATTAAGAATGATAAACTAATTCACTTAATATTGGACCATGAGCTTTAAATGAGCGATAGTGAAGAATCATATAGTCAGCTCAACTTCCTTGGGATACTCAAACTTGAGCATTACAACAAAAAAAAAGATTATATATATAGGGACATTGAGCTGAGGGTCTATCGGAAAACAACCTCTACCTCCCATGATAGGGGGTAAAGGTCTGCGTACACTCTATCCTTCCCAGACCCTACTTATGAGATTACACTGTGTATGTTGTTGTATTGAGAGAGTTCGATATTGATTGTTAGTGTATACATACAGGTCTATAAAAACTATGCAAAGAAAGACAAGGAAAGGCACCAGAAGGAATGGAAGGAGTATAACGAAATAATGACGACTGCATCGACTTGCAACTGAAGGGGACTGACTGGGGAGAAGAGAAGGAGCAGAGATATAGTTCATTTTGCATTGTAATGTAGTTCCAAAACTGCAGCTCTTTCTGTGGATCAAAACATTGTTATAGCTTATGTAAGATAGTCGCAAACTATTTCTATAAGTGTTGTTTCTCAAACTATTGTTTTCGTAGATCGATTCTCATGCTTATAAGATGGTCTGTGTTATAAATACATCATATTGTGGATGTTCATTACACAGTTTCCTGGATAATCACCTTGATGTATTGTTGGGAAACTGTCTTTATTCAACCCGTAGGTGAGGGTGTAGCTAGTCTACGACAACAACATACCCATTGTAATCCCACGAGTGGGGTCTGGGGAAAAGAAAACTGCAATGTCACAAACTACACAACGATACAATAAACGATTTCAACAAGTCCTAGGAAGGAGGGGGTGAGGTCTGCATTTCAACTACCTTCTTCCATGACTCTCGGTTGGATATGTCACCCCACCACCTTCCCACGTTCTCTCTTGAAGTGAAGAGCTCTGCTCTGTCTGTTCCGTTCACCAAGTATTGAATGTTTGGAAGGTGAGAGAGATCGGCCAATGTGAACTCATCTCCAGCCAAGTACTGACTATCTCCGAGCCTCTTTTCATACACATCAAGTACTTTTTTGAGCTTCTCTTCGTTCTGTCTGATCAAGTTCTCGTCTTGTTTGAGCTTCATTCGCGGTGCAAAAGCCAGCTGGAATACAAGAACTGAACTTGGTGGATTGAAGCTTTGTCCTTCTGCCTCTATCCATTGATCTATAGATGCTTTCTCTAACAGGTTTGTTCCATATAATCCCTTGTTACCTTGACTTCCATATTTGTCACATATGTACCTATTTATAGATCTGGATTCTGGATTTACCAAAAGCACAGACAGACAACAATGTAAACCCAAATTTTAGTTAGTATAAGCACTACGAAACAGTGTAAGCCGCAAATTCCATATTAGTATGAGCATCATGAACACATACTAGACGTATAAGCATCATCAACAAGAACACCGCTTAATAAGTAACAGCATAGGGCCCAAATTCCACACTAGTATCAGTGGCGGAGCCACTGGAAAATCACATTGTTTAGCTAGGCCCAAATTTTAGTTTCATTTATATAAACTATATGTTGATGACTCCCGTTATTTTCTAGTTGTCATTGACTAGTATAGGCATCATCAACAACGTCACATCATAAGTTACAGTGTGAGCCCCGAATTCCATACTAGTATAAGCATCATGAACAGTAAGGTAAGACCTAATTTCCATACAAATATAAGCCTCATTAACAACAATGTACAACCCAAATTGCACACTAGTATAAGCATCATGAACAATACTGTAAGACCCAATTTACATACTAGTTATCTGGGAGGATAGAATGTACGCAGACCTTACCTTACCTCTACCTTTGTGAGGTAAAGAAGTTGTTTCTGATAGACCCTGGGTTCAGAGGAAATGTAATCAAAGCAGAATTGAAAGGAAAATAACGACAGAAAAATGACAAGAGAAACAAAGCAAACGTAGCAACAAGTATTAACAAGAATTGAAGAATAAGATACTATGCAATTACTAAAAATTACTACCAGATACAAAGAAGAGGAGACTAGCCCCCTGCCTCTCCCACATAAAAGTACGACAACAATCGGCTTACCTACTACCTTAATCCTCCAAACCTTCCTATCTAGGGTCATGTCTTCAGTAAGCTGAATTGCGTTAAAGAACAAGATCCCAAATTGTGCTACTATTATAAGCATCATCTATTCTTGGCAAATGCAGTTTAAAAATCCAATCTTTAGACTGGCCCATTACTTCCAGGGCTATCTATCTGCTGCAAGATTAAGAGGACTAAGCAGGGGGGGATTTCAGATAATGGGGAAGATGAGACTAGGCCTCTGCCTCTCCCACAGAAAAGTACGACAATGCTAGACTACCTTCAAACCTTCCTATCTAGGGTCATGTCATCCGTAAGCTAAATTGCATTAAACAACAAGATCCCAAATTGTGCACCACTATAAACATCAGCTATTCTTAGCAAATGCAGTTTAAAAATCCAATCTTTAGACTGACCCAATACTTCTAGAGCTATCTGCTGCAAGATAAAGAGGACAAAAAGTGTAATTACCAAACAGAGTGATGTCCTCATCTTGATAAGCTGGAACTTGACCAAAAGGCTGATGAAAATGAGAACATAGAAATCAGTAAAAGAAACTTGCCCCCTTTTTCTAAATTTGGGGGTAGGAGGGAAAATTGAACACTCGCAAATAAAGAGTCAATCAACTGAGCTACGAAGATTTCCGGAGAAAAAAAAAAACTTGCCTGAATTTTGAGATAGTCAGGTTTTTTGTGTTCCCCTTTTGCCATGTTAACAGGGATGAGCTGAAATTGGACATTTTTTTCAAGAAGACAAGCTAGAACTCTTGACACTGCAGTTGATAAAGTTGGTCCGTACACTTTCACCGGAGTAGCCATCGGAAAATCAAGAAAGTAAATTAGTGTTGTTCCTTTATTTGTGGAATTTATATTTGCTTTTTGTGATCTTTATTCAGCATATTACACATTATCCTTTTCTTCATCAACTGGTTAAATTGGGTCCACCAATTTTAATTATTGTATTTATTTTATAAAAAAAGTGTTATTAGTGGATAGGTCTGGTAGGCTAAATCATTAAAATGATTTAAATATTCAACTAACCTTTTTTTAATGTTAATTTTCTCTATATCATTTCAATTTTTATCGATGTCTAAAAGGGAGAATATTTAACTAAGTTTGCGGTCATATATAATTTGATTGATTTAGTAAAAAAGAAAAAAAATTCTCAATATTTCATTGAGAATCTGTTTTTCACCATAGTGTCCTGATGAAAAAAATCATGTTTTATAACAAAAAATTCTCAGTGATTCTTGATGAAAAGAAACCTTTGTTTCTAGTAGTGGCGTATTTTGGCAAAGAAAGAGGATTTCCTTTTAAATGAACTCAATGTGAATTTGAGTCAGTCGAGGATCGAGACAATAAGCTTGGAATGTCATATCATTTAGAAAAGAACTTTTGTGAGATTTGTTAAGAGTTTCACCATAGTATGAGTCCTTTCTTTATATTGGCTTGCACAATTTTTTCATTATGACCAAAATTGTGAGTAATTAGTTAAGTTCAAGATCCAATTAAGCAAGTTAAACCTTGATACAATGAACATTTGGCCTAATAACATCTTATTACAACAGTTTTATAACATCTAATTAGTATTACAATCTATGTATGGACTCTGTGACATCTAATAACAATGAACAAAAAACCACCTCAACCATCTTAGATCATCTTTAGTGATCGTCTTTTCGATCAATTAAGCACACGTTGTCCAGTTAGAAGGAGCTCTCGTTGACGATAATGGTGGGAGGTTATGAATGTTGATATCGAGAGGTAGCATACGATATTGGATATCGAGCTCCCTGAATGTTTTCACCATTTCTTCAATAAGAAAAGCTCTCCTCGCCCACCTCTCTCTCATATCTTGGTGATTCATCGTGTGTGAGAGCCATACTGACCATTTTATCCCGTTCATGTTTTCCACGTCTCTCATTACAATCATTGGAGCCGGATACCAATGATCACTCCTGTTTTCGATATACCTGCCAGTACAGAAGACATAACCATAACTAATCGAAAAAAGGATGGAAGAATATTAACAACTTCTCATGATCAAGCTAAGAGGCAAGTCAAAAGTACTCTTCCTTCGCGCATTTTGACATTAGAGACAAACCACTCTATAACTACGTTGTTTGTTCCAATATGAAAATCAGTTCCAAAGAAAATTTGGCCATTATAGGAAATGTCTGTTATACAGAATGACTGTTATAGAACGATCTTTTTTCCCCATATATCCAGTAATAAGAATGAATATGAGCACTTTTTTGGAAAATGAACATACGTATCGGAGATATACCTTGTTATTTTCTCTTTCATCATAGCAATCTTTTCCATGGGAGTTGAGATATGAATGGAGAAATCGACTGAATCTCCCATGTCTGGACTGCGGTAGTAATTACTGATGGGCTTCGTCGATAGGACACTATTTGGATATATGATCTTCTGGTTATCATATCTTAGGAAAACTGTAGTCAGTATATTCATCTCTTCAACTACCATCTGAAACACAATGATCAAATAAATGCTTTAGTATACGAGTTCAAACACAAACAAATGTACGCTTTGAAATGGAGGAATTTCTTGCCTGAACTCCATCAACTTCAACACGATCGCCAACATCAAAAGGGTGCATCACAAATAAAAAGATGATTGCCTCAAATGTCGTCTTGGCTGAGTTTCCGAAGATGAATACTACTAGAAGAATCTGGGAACTCAAAAAGACCAAGAAATGCATAGTAGCAACTCTGAGTATAAGGAGCCAGATGACCAATATGATTATTGCCACAAGGACATTTAACATTTGATGAAGCTTGTTTACAGCAGTCTTAGTGTCATTTAACGACAGAGCAAGCGCCCTTCGCTCTCTAAATGCGTTCACCTGGAAGAAAAATACAAAGTAAAACGTTCAAATCCCATCGTACTAGTGCTTAAGTTATGCTCGGACTCTTCAACTATTGTCAATAGGTGCATGTCAGATTCTCCAAAAGTAGTGTATCTTTGAAGAATCCGACACGGTTGTGGCATTGAAAGTGAAGAGTCCGTGCAACTTAGGCTAAAAAACAATACTTTTCTTTAAAAACATGATCTTCATTTTGTGGCGATGACTTGAAATGAATACCAAAATCGTCATTTTGAGATGAATTCGGACTGATCTAACCAAGAAAAGAACTGGACTTTCTTTCTTAAAGAAGATTGGCAAAGTTGCATACTCACCGCCCAATTTTTCAGAGCACATTTACTTATGCCTTTGGTTTCAGTTCCACTTTCAATAAGGCACATTGTTTTCGAAGCCTCGTCTTCTCTCATAAAACGCATCAAGTCCTCCAAATAGATGAACCTAATGGTAGTCACATATAGTATGAGCATAGATAATATAAAGATTTCAACTTCAGTATTATAACGTAACAATTTAAAGGCAATAACTAATTGTTGTTAACACCGACAGTACGAAGAGATAGGTGAGTTACAATAAGGAAATAACTTACTTGGACCCAGGCTTAGCTACATTGTTAAATATCTGCTTGGCTGCAGCTTTCGCCTTTTTCTCACTAGTGATCTGCACAGCAGTTTCATCCTCGTAATTCGACTGTGGTAACTTCTCATCCAAAGTTGACAGCACACCATTTCGAACCATATTCATCAGCCGTTTCATATTCCAAGCAGAAATGTTCTTCTGATTCAGTCTATGCAGATGATCTATAGTAATTCCACCCTCCTTTTCCTTTTCCTTCTCGGAAATAGCCCTCGAAAATGCAGAACTCCTCGGAGTAGAACCCGTAGGAGTCCTGCGTGGTGTTCCAATCAGTCTCTTTGCAAATATGCTTGCCTTTAGATCAGCAGGCAATGTAGCCCCAGCACTCTGAAGCTTCTCCACTTCAGCCATAACTTTCTCTTCCTCCTCGTGCTCCGATTGATCAATCTCAACCAATGCAGGCCCAGACAACGTCTCGATCACATACTGATTAAACAAAGATTCTTGAATTCGATCGAAGAATGTACTAACATGAAATGACATAGCCAGTACCTTCACAAGAAGTGTTTTCAACAACCAAATGTATGCACCAACCAAAAGACAAATCCAAATACTTGACACATAAGGCAAAACCTTCCCACCAGTCATGTTATCAACTTTTTTATCAAAAATACACAGCCAAGCAATCAAAACCAAACTCAACCAAATGCAATTCTGCACTGAATTCCTCAATCCATACACGAAATACAAAACGCGTTTTCGCAACAAAAAATTACTCTCAATGAAGAACACAACCAACCTTATAACCCAACCAGAAAACAATCTTCCACAAATCAACACCAAAATCATTACTTCCCATTTCCACAATTCAAGCCCAAAAGCCCTCTTTTCCCTCAACACACTAAACACAAAACTACAACTTAAAACAGCAATAATCACTACTAAACTCACCAGCTGAAGAACAGTTAATAAACTAAACTTCACTTTCTTGAATTCCTCAGGTAAATCCTCATCTGAAAAGGGGTCATCTTCTTCAATTCCACTATCTTTTAACAAAACCCCAGACCTCTGATCTTGCTCAGGTGGTTCCATTAGCCTTGATTTTGTCCTGTTAACCAAAAGATTTGATTTTTTCCTAAAAGAAGAGGTGGAACTGCAAACCAAAACTTCTTGTTGTGAACATGGTGATTCTGTGATAAAGTTGAAATCTTTATCATTACTGTCATTCTTGGTGAAATGGGGTTCTGGTGAAATGGACAATTCAGTTTCTTTTAGGGGTTTTGGGGTTTCTCTAAACATGGAAAGATTGGATTTTTCAGTTTGGTTCAAGAGATTTTGATGTTCTTCTATTTCAGATTTGAAAGATTTTTTAAGTTTTTCCATTTCAAGAAGATAAAAAGATGAAAAAGGGGAAAGGTGATTCTTGGCTTGTTCTTGAATGAATCACTATTATCAAGAAAGAACAAAGTAACAGTGAATAAAGTGGCATTTGTAGTGTCTGAAAAAGATGTATTACTACTATTATTCCTCATTTTTTTGTGGTTTTTGAAAATGGAGGAATATTCTGGAGAAAAATGAAAGAAAGAAGAGATGATGATGGAAGATTCATGCATTTTCTTTCTTAAAGCAACTGAAAATGTCGGTCCGTCCATCCACTTTTACTTGTCTACTTCTCAAGGGATAAGGTATTCGTACCCCTAGACTATGACCAAAATCGTAGAGTCACACTTTAATTAAACTAAGGTTCTATTATCCCTAAACAAATTCTTTTTGTAATTTTGTAGACCTTTTTGACTTACGTGGCATCAAAATATCTATCACGCGCCTCAACGGTGTACAAAATTACAAAAAAAAAAACGAGTTCAGGGGTAATAGGACTTAGTTTAGTTAAAGTGTGTTTCTAAGGTTTCGGTTATAGTATAGAGGATGCTTGTACCTTATCCCTAATAAATATTCTTATAGTTTTATTCTTAAACATACAGATTGATTTTGATCACTCGACTATATATTTCTTCTTGATTCTGGTTTTGTTCAATGAAAAAAGTAAGTAATTTCCGAGTTAATAACTATTAGTTGAGCGTTTATATGAACAAACAGGGTGAGTGTAGACTTTTATCAACAGCTAACAAATCTGCAGTCCAGACTAAATATTTATACAATATGATCATGTCAGTTACAAAGTACTTACATGTAAATCCCAATGATAAAACATTAATTTATAACATAGTAAAAGTAATAGCTAATCTACTACCACAGATCATAGCTATACAAAACTGATAGTTTAAAAAAACAAAAATTACGCTGTCAGTATATATAACTTAATGCGTGTTATGCATTCTGCTTCCTCAATGGTTATCCAAGGCTTCTTCTTTTGCTACTTTTCTCTTCTTCAACCATCTGTGTTTAAGCAGAGCAATGCTACTTC